TGTCGTAGTAATAGAATTCCAATATTTAATGAATTAAATATTTAAATAAAAGATATTCTATAAAAGATTAAATTTTAATAAACATTTGTTTCAATAGTTCTAAATAAATATTTATGAATGTAAATATACATTTATTTAATATAAAAATCATTTAATTTAACTATATATTTTTTAATGTTTACTTAATACTATTCAAAGAAATATGTATTAAGATTTAATAATTTTTTTTTAGTGAACATTAAATTTATGCATATCTATTTATCGCAGAATAAATTATATCTCTATTATTTTATATATACAAATTTTCTCAGAAAAACGCAGAAAAAAGATAACACACTGAAAAAGAAATTCTAAATCTAAGTAATATTTTCTTAAATAATACTAACATTTCTTTATTGCAAATAAATATTTATTAAAAAAAAAATAATACTCAAATCAATGATATATGTTTACATTTATAGTAAATATAGTATAGTAAATATTTATTTGCAATAAAGAGATGTTAACTTAGTATAATGTTCCTATAATAATATAGGAACACTAACTTAGTGTTGTTTAAAAAAATATTAAATTTAGAAAATTTTTTTTCAGTTCATCATGTATATGTAAAATCTCTTAAATCAAAGAATACACTCATGAAGGAGACATTGCGTCATTGGTAGGAGAAATGATAGCGAGGAGAATAAAAGGGAGAAAGAAAAGAGTATAAAATCTGGATACCTAACGTAAAAGTAGCGAACAGAGGGACCGCCAGCAAGATTCTGCTTTAACACGCGTGTAAAAATTATACGAGATATACGACGCCGTTACCGGGATTGGAGCTAATTACCACCCAGAAGCGACGTCCGCGCATATATAGTGAATCAGCGTTAACTGACCTCCTATCGGCGTCCATAGAACCCGACCTCGGCGTCGACCTCGTCGATTTATTCGCCCGTAACGAAGTAAAAAGAGGAATCACGAAGGGGAAAGAAGAGAAGTAGATGGAGACTCTTATACGGTCAAAGATAATATTCGTAGTCAACGCCGTTCATCTACCCCTCATCATCGTCGTCGTCGTTGTCATTGTCGTGTGTCGTCGTCATTTATCGACGGCGACGCTTCTCGCGGTGCCCGATCGAGAAGCTATCGGCGGATGCCGTCACTCATGCCGTCTCATCGATTATCCGCAAGTCGAATCTCGCTTCCTTTCATCCCGTCTCTCCCGGGCGACGCGAATGGAACGCTTCGACGGATCGGCGATTAGGGATAATCGCGCGCGGAGTGCCATTCGATTTGTTCGAATGCGCGAGTCTCACGTGTGAATCGTCGCGCGATACCAATCGCGTATTTATCGATGAATAAAATACCTGGGGACGAGGTTCTCAATCGTGAATGTCACGCGCCGAGCTTCTCTTATATCTGATCTTATTTAATTATTTATTCACGTAAACAAGCAAAGCGAATGTAACAGCCATCAGATAAGCGGAACATCTCACATTGAGCTTCCGATTATACTTTTTGATTAATCGCGGAGCGAATATTTTTCGAGTGAGATTTTCATCGCAAAAATTAAACGTATAAAACAAAATCGTGTCGGTAGCGCTGATTTGAGATACTCCGTATAAATCTCATTAAAAAAATAAAACTCACCGGACATCCCAGAAACAGGCGAGAGATGTCATTCTGTAAAAAAAATACAGAATTATATTATAATTATATTATATTAAAATTATAATGTTATAATTTTCTAATTTTATAACTATACATAATATAATTAGAATTATATTATATACAAACGTAAATTATACAGCCATACAAATATTAGTCTTATATTCTTTTCATTTGAAGATCTATGTTGTTACTTATAATATTTGGGCCTCTATTCTATAATTCTTAACGCAAGTTGCATTAAGAATAGCCCTGCTATTATTTCTTATTCAATCGTTATATGCATAAATTTAAAAGATTCTTAAAACAAAGGATAATTTGCAACAAATAACACAAATCAATTTTTAAACTAAAATGTTACATATTAATTAAAAAGATGTCTAATATTTTTGACTATATTTGCAATCAATGTAATTGATCTTTTTCTTTAAATTAATTCTCTATAAAATTCCATTTTAATGTATATTGCAAAAACATGTACTTAAATTTGATGTAATAAATTTTATCATTCATTATTCATTATTGCAATATTACGATCATTAAAATATTGAAAATAAAAAAATTATTCAAATTAATAACTTATTTAATTTTTAAGTATTTAAAATATTAAAATAATTAAAAATAAATATTAAAAATATCGGAAATAAATAAAAATTATATATTATTATATATTATTATGAAATAATAATAAATGAATTTTCTTACCAGCCAATGTGTCGTTCCTATTCGCCTTCCTGTCGATTCTTTCTGTTGCTTTAGGC